CCCCCCCAGTGCCACCCCCTGCCATGGGCAGGGACACCTTCCATAGCCCAGGGTGCTCCAAGCCTCATCCAGCCTGGCCTTGGACACTCCCAGGGATGGGGCATCCCCAGCTTCCCTGGGAACCTGTCCCAGTGCTCCCATCCTCTCCGGGAAGAATTCCTTCCTGATATCCAATCTAAACCTCCCCACTTCCATGATGATCCCCCAGGACCCATCCCAGGTGACCCCTAAGCCAGGTCCCATCCTGCAAACCTCAGGTACAGGGGACCATCCTGACCAGGTTTTGGGGTAGAAATGGCCGGTCTCTCCCTTACCACCCCCTGGTCCCACTTTTCACCCTGCCTAGAACCCTCCCCACCTCCCAGGCACGGAGCGCCTCTCCCGTACCCAATCAATTAATCCAGTCGTTAACCAACGCCCGATCCAAACCGCCCCGTGAGTCACGGCGCTGCCCTGTGGGGTGGGAGGCAGCGTGCGAGCGCCCGGCTGGATCCTGCGCTCCCTTCCGGCAGGGAAATTTGGGTCTGGAAAGCTGGATTTGGGAAGCAAAATCCCCGCTCTCCGCAATACTGAAGCAAACAGGCCCCCCCCGTCCATCCCAAGCAATGCTGGCGGAAACCTTCCTGTTGCACTCCCGAGCATCCAACTGTGGGAGAAACGGGCAAAAGTCTCCGGTGCAAAAGCACAAATAAACTTCCTTCTTCGGGCCGGCGTTTCTGGCCGGGGTCCAGCCTCCCGTTAAAGACTGTTGGTAAGAAAAACCAGCTCAGGGGAAGTGGCGTGAAGAAACACTCCAGTAATTAAACAACCCCAGAAATAGAGGGAGAAAAGGTCAAGCCTAAAAATACGGGGTATGGTTTTGCGTTGAGACGGGGCATTAATAAATAATCCTGTTTTCGGGAAGGTCGAAGTTTGGCGTCTCGGGTACGATAGCCTGGCGTGACCCCTTCGCTTGTCTTGATTTTGCTGGGTTTGGGGCTTTTCTTCGCTGGGCTTTGCCTCGCTCTCGTCCCCGGCAGAGCCGCAGGCAGGTTGGGTGTGCGAGCAAGAGGGCAGCACGTGGTGAAGGCACTGGGTGCTGGGCTGGGGGCCGTGCCCGGGGTGGAGCGAGCGTGGGCGTGCTCAGCCGCACTGGCTGGCGTGCAGGCACCTGCCCAGTTTTCCCAGCATCGGGAAAACAGCTGGGATTGCCAAAGATCCCAGCCTGAGGGATGGGCTGGTGGTGGGGGGCAAAGTCCTCATGGTGACTTCAACATACCCAAACAGGTACGTCCCGCTCAGGCCGCCTCCCCGCTTGCTCGTTAGTGACTGAGAATTAATAA